GTTTTTTAAACCATTCAAATCGGTTGATCCGTCCGCCCGAAAACGTGGACGAAAAAACGCGGACATACAAAACACACACACACACACACACACACACACACACATCCATTTTTTCTGAAGTATGCCAAAATGTTCAGAAACCTTCAAAACGTCGAGAAATGTAAAAATTTTCAATTCCGATTTTTGGACGATTACTATAACTTACCCTACGGGAAGTTAATAATTTAAAGCGTTTAATTCATTGTTATTAAATATTTTATCATTGTTTATGAAGGAATTAATAAATAAAATAGAAAAGGGGAGATACTGATTTTTAGTTTAACAACCAAGTTCAATGTCTATGTAAAATTCTAGAAGCATAGAACGATGACTAATGTAAGGTATGCTCTGCATATGCATCGATTGTAGTTTTAGTTAAGTTAAACAGTTTTAGCAAATTTACAGAATCCAGATAATTTGAAACATTTGTAGACAATCTACGTTTTCAACGAATTTTAAATATTTCCAGCCGATTTAAATCACTTTTAGAGAATATACAGTATATAGAAAATATACAAAAGGATTAATTAATTTAAAACATTATCAGCTAATTTAAAACATTTTAGGCAAACTTAAATTATTTTAACATCACCCAATAATATTTTTCAACATTTTCAAGCAGTTATTTACAATTTTAGATAATCTGCAACAATTTCAACTAATTTCAAGCCGATTTAAATCACTTTTAGGCAATTTACAACATTCATAAAGTCTACAAGAGGATTAAAAAATAATTTAAAACATTTTCAGTTAATTTAAAACATTTTCAGACAGTTTATAAAACTTTTACACAATATACAACTTTAAAAGGCACCTTGCAATATTTTCAGATGATTTACTACATTTTCCGACAATCTGCAACATTTTCATGCATCTCATAAAATTTTTAGACAATCTAAAACATTTTCAAACAAACTACAAAAAATCTCAAAATTTTTAATAAATCTTTAACAAGATGACACACATATAGAAATTTCATTTCAAAAATATAGAAAGAATTTGTAATCTAACCCGTAAGCTTAATTAATATTAATATATACCTATTAAAGAATATAGTGGCAAAATTACATAATTTTATATTTTTATTTTTGATGAAAATGTAACAAATTTATATACATATACATATACATATACATATATATATATATATATATATTATATATATATATTTATATATATGGAACTAGATAAAATTTACTAAAATCTAGTAATACCTGTTTCATACACTTTGATATTGAAATTTTGAATAATTCGTAGTAGAAATTCAAATTTAGTATTTGCGTTATATAGATTTCGGCCAATTTTTTTAGTTTTCTTCAAATAACTTTTAATTTTACATACATACATATATATATATATAATATATATATATATATAATTATATTAATGTAAACACACCACACTTTTTACTGCACTATTTATCAGATAATATTAATATTACAAATTATAAATGATTATTGTAATTCCGATAGTCTTGTTAGCAAAAACATCTCACTAAAAGATAAGAATTAACTAATATCATCTAATAAAATTAACTAATACTAACTGATCAGAATTCTTGATTATATTTCAATAAATAACATTCATAAATTGCACTTCGAATCATATTATATTTTTATTATTTATATTCTCATATAAAAATATAGATAAACAATCTTATATATACATTTATATTTATAAATTATATACGAAATATAACAAGATGGTGTACCAACAACGTGTAATACTTTTATATTAAATAAAATTTATTTCAGATCTTTGTATCAACAGTCATCTCACTTCCGGATTTGTTTCTGTTCCCTGTAATTAATAAAATAGTGATAATTTATAAATAAATGTTAATGTATTAATAATTCCATTCTTTACTTGTGAAGTCTTAAGCAAAAAAGTGACTTTGTCACCATTAATTAGCTGCAACTCGCTGCTTTCAGCAATCACATCAAATTTTCTTTTCATTCGGGATTTTCTTGTTCTTCCTGCAAACTGTTTGCAAGATTCTGGCAAAAATCTAAAAGAAGTAGCTTAAATTATTTTATTATTTTTTTT